TCAAGGCTTCTTTGATAGGCACTTGGGTGAAGAGGGATATGACATCGAAGCTCACTAGTAGGTCGCTGGGCTGTAAGTTTTGTTTCTTTATGATCTCTATAAACTGGAATTACAAACCTAATCCAAAAGAAACCCCCACCAAAATCCAAGACAAAGAACAAGAAAACGGCAAAGCCCTCCTCCCATACATAAAAGGCACCACAGACAGAATCAGTAAGATCCTTCATAAACACAACATCAAAACAGCATTCTGCACAAACAGAAAAATATCCACCATCCTTAGAAACCCCAAAGATAAAATTGAATTAGAAAATCAAGGAGTATCCGAAATCCCATGCACCACTTGTCCCACCACATACATCGGACAAACCAACAGAAGAATAAGTGCACGCAGTTGAAGAACATAAGAACTCAGTCAAAAAGAGGAACCAACATCTTCCCTGGTCCCAACACCTTAAGCCACAGGAACACGAAATTGACTTTGAAAAATACCCAGAACCATTGCCAAAAGTGAACATTTTAATAACAGAATAATCAGAGAAGCCATCGAGATAGAAAAACGCCCACACAGCATGAACAAGCGAGATGATACCTCCCGCCTACCAGCCATTTGGAAACCTGCCCTTATTGACAAACTACTCCCTAACCCCAAAATCTTAAACCCCTCTGCAACTCAGACTAACCTGAGCACAACCAAACAGAACACTCCCCCAGACAATCAGAGCACAGCCAAGCCCCTAACCATTCAGAACACACCTCCACCCAATCAGAACACAGCCAAGCTCCCATCCAATCAGTTCATACCCTCACTGGCAGTTAAAAGGAAGAAACAGCTAAAACCACACATTGCTGCTCAAAGCAAGAAGCTAAAAACACCAGCCTGAAGATGACGAATGTGACTTCGTCGAAACGTTGCCAAGACACTTCCAATTTTACGCGGGAGAAAACCCGAACAACCAAAGACCTATATACAAATACCCGCGAAAACCTCAGAAAACATATATATATATATATATATATATATATCCAAATTTCTTTTTCTGACAAAGAATTAAATAATTAAATTGGGAGACTAAAATGGCCATATCGAGCTCATTCTGCTCTCTTCAGTTAGCCACACCCTTTATGGGATTCGAACCTGGGCAGTTTACATACTAGGCAGTGATTTAACCACCAAGCCACAGGCTCTCCTCCCTCTTTCCCAGCTGAGTCAAGGGAGTATATGCAGGAAGTTTTTCAGACAGATGTCTAATTGATTACACCTTGACATCTTGACTAAGACACCATCTTAGTCTCCCAATTTAATTATTTAATTCTTTGTCAGAAAAAGAAATTTGGATTTGTAATGTTTCGCAGTTGCGACTTGAGCCTGCTTAACGCCCCTAGTTGGGGGCTGCAAGGCAAAAGAGATTGTAAAAAGTAAAACTGCAGTATAGCAGTTAAAAAATGTCAAGGTGTAATCAATTAGACATCTGTCTGAAAAACTTCCTGCATATATATGTATATGTAATATGTATATGTATATGTATATATGTATGTATGTCTTTGGTTATTCGGGTTTTCTCCCACGTAAAATTGGAAGCGTCTTGGCGACGTTTCGATGAAGTCTCATTCGTCATCTTCAGGCTGGTGCTTTCGGCTTCGTGCTTCTAGGAGCAATGTGTGGTTGTAGCTGTTTCCTCCTTTTAACTGCCAGTGGGGGTATGAACTGATTGGATGAGAGCTTGGCTGTGTTCTGATTGGATGGAGGTGTGTTCTGATTGGTTAGGAGCTTGGCTGTGCTCTGATTGGCTGGGGGGTTGGCTGTGCTCTGATTGGCTGGGGGTTGGCTGTGCTTTGATTGGCTGGGGGGAGGAAACAGCTGCAACCACACATTGCTCCTAGAAGCACGAAGCCGAAACCACCAGCCTGAAGATGACGAATGAGACTTCGTTGAAACGTCGCCAAGACACTTCCAATTTTACATGGGAGAAAACCCGAATAACCAAAGACCTACATACAAACACCCGCGAAAACCTCAGAATATATATATATATATATATATATATATATATATATATATATATATATATATAGGTCTTTGGTTATTCGGGTTTTCTCCCACGTAGGAGCTTCTAGGAACACGAAGCCGAAAGCACCAGCCTGAAGATGACGAATGAGACACTTCCAATTTTACATGGGAGAAAATCCAAATAACCAAAGACCTACCTACAAACACCCGCGAAAACCTCAGAATATATATATATATATAGGTCTTTGGTTATTCGGGTTTTCTCCCACGTAGGAGCTTCTAGGAGCACGAAGCCGAAAGCACCAGCCTGAAGATGACGAATAAGACTTCGTCGAAATGTCGCCAAGACACTTCCAATTTGATATGAGAAGTATTTGATATGAATTGCATTGATTTTATCTACTATTAGTACTACCATGTAATCTTCTCTGGCATCCAGACTTTCCCTGAAAATAAGAAAACTGAAAAGTATATTGAAAGTAGCCACAAAACTTTTCATGTATAGAGATGTGTATGCAGCAACCTCGAATAGCAGAAAAAGGAAATAGATCATCTATACAACATATTCCAACAAAATGGATATCCACTCAACTTTATCAAAAAGTCCGTGAGCACCTAACCCAAACAACATAATCTAAACAAACTAACAAGAATTACACTGCCATACTTCAAGACTATGTCAGAAACCACCAACAGACTACTACAACTGCATGGAATCAGGGTAGCACACAAGCCAACTAAAGCTCCTCAAAACATCCTAAGTAGACCAAAAGACCCAGCAACCCCAGAAGAAAAAACAGAAGTTATCTACAACATACAATATAAGGACTACAACAACCACTATGTAGGACAAACAAGCAGAAAGCTGGCAGTACATATCCACAAACACATATTAGCAGTCAGAAGACATGATGAAAATTCTTTAATTTCACAACATACAGACAGTCCTGAATTGATAGAGATATGAGTAGAGGGAGAAAAAAGAATTTAAAAAATGAAGTTGTTACCAGAAAACATGATATGGAGAATAATGCTTATTTGAGAACATAAAAAGCCTAAACTGATTACCAAATGTATATAAATAAAATATCATACTTTTGGAAGTTCTAAGAAGAGGGCTTATAATACAAACATTGCCATTTATTTCTTTTTGAAATATGGTGACTGATAGTAGAGTTTCTAGATGAAATGTCATATGGCAGAACTGCATAACTTATAGAGGGGAAATGACCACATTGATACCTGGCATACCAACCAGTGTTTGATGACTAGTGGCATGCACCCAGCAGTGGAGCAGGTATATCAATGAATTTTGAAGGCACTTGGCAATATGTCTTTGGGGTAGCAGTGGATCCTTTTTTGTAATGGCAACTTTTGGCAGTGGTCATTTATTGAATTTTTAAAAAGCGCTGTCAAGATACACAACTTTTGGCAGTGGTCATTTATTGAATTTTTAAAAAGCGCTGTCAAGATACACAAGGCTACATGCTGTGCAAGTCCAGTGGTATTTTACAGGAACAACAAATCCTTTTTTCCTCCTTTTTAGTTTGCAAACTGAACACCAGTTCTGTAAATCTTAAATGTGCCCTTTGTTTGAAGGTTTTTTCTTGTTGGGAATCTCAGATGATTTAAGCAGAACATTTAGAATAATACTCTAACTGGTATTTTAAAGGTGCCCTTTAGAATGTGTTAATCTTCAAAATTCTTTGTAAGATTGTAAAAGGATATGGATGCCTTGAAGAAAGAAATTTCCATCAGTTTTCAGTATAATGTTTTCCTTGTTTTTCAGGTGTTCTTTCACTAAAGATATTGATACCAAAGCTAAATAACTCTTTAACAGTAAGATTCTCAGTTCACTGGTTTTTTTTTCAAAAAAATATTATGAGATTACCTCATGAAAAATGCACATTTCTTTGTTCCTCAATTAAGGAGGACAATTATGATAAAATATTACACCAGATAAAAAAAGATTTAGAAAATTGGGAAAATTTGCAAATTTCATTTTTAGGGAGGACCACTACAGTCAAAATAAATGTATTGCCAAAAATATTATTTCTGTTCCAGGTTATTCCAATAAAATTAGGGAAAACATTCTTTCAAGAATTAAATGGGAAAAAATATAGGAAATAAACATAAAATTGACTATGTCAGCGGCATTCAAGGAAAACCAGTTGAAGATGTTTTACAGATGGCATCTTCCACCAGCAAAGCTTACCAAGATGTTCCAGAACAATTCGCCAACATGTTGGAAATGTAAAAAAGTATATGGAACATATTATCATTTATGGTGGACATGCCCAGTTGCGAAAAAATACTGGACTACAATAAGAAAATGGATCAAAGAAATAATAGACCAACCCGTAGACTGGAAACCAGAGATCTTTTTGTTGGGGATTTTAAACAGAAAATATAGTAAAGAAATATGGTACTTAATTTTACATATAATAACGCCAGCAAGAATAGCATATGCACAGTGCTGGAAAAATGAGAATATACCATCAGAGGAAGAAGTGATAAGAAAAATCCTGGATGTGCTGAGATGGACAAATTAACAAAAGAGATAAAAGAAAAGGAAGACACAGAGTACTATGTAACATGGAACAAGTGGTATGACTGGTTGGAGACTAGAAATAATAGAAGAGAAAAAATATGGAAAGGTCAAAAGTGAAAATATGTGTATAATAATGTATAATAATAATAATAATATGAATTATTCTTAGTAAGAAGTAGAATATGAAGGAAGAAAAATGTAAATAAGAAACAATGGGGCAATAAGGACAAATATTCTAAAGAAGAATAAGGGGGAAATGTAAATAATAGAAGATTACTGTTACGTAATCGCTATTAAAAAAGGGGGGAGTATATACTGTGTGTGTATGTGTGTTATGTTTTGCTTTGTTTCGTTTTGTTGGTTAAACATAAAAATAAAAAAAAAGAAAAAGAAAAATGCACATTTCTCAATGTTGCTGTGTTTATATTTTTGCTATAGATTCTGGATAGAAAAAACAATGAAATTGAGGTACTGAAGAGCTTGTATATAACCAAACAGAATGAAGCTGAAGAGACTATTCAGAAGCTTGAAAAAAAAGGTGTCCAATTTTCCAATTTTGTATTGATCTTGAAAACTGCATGAATGATGTTTGTTTGTTGCCTGTTTGTTTATATTTCACATAATTTTCTCTTAACAAGCAAAATGCAAAGGAAAACACATTCTTGATTAGGGATGGAAAACTTCTGAGATAAAGCATTGCATTATTTTGAGGAAATTGGCTTCTGTTTTTTTTTTTTTTTTAACTGAAGAGTAAGAAAGGGCATGTTAGGAAAGAATGCCTTTAAGACAGTGGTTCTCAACCTTTTTAATGCTGCGATCCCCAACCGGTCGTAAGTCGAGAACTACTCAACCGGTCGTAAGTCGAGGACTACTCAACTGGTGCAGCACCATTTGCAGAATGGGACTTTTGGCGGTCTCAGCAGGGCAGAGACAGCCTGGACAATTCCTATTGGCTTTTGAAAGCCAATAGAATTAGACTCTATTCAAGAGAGTCTATTCTATTGGCTTTCAAAAGCCAATAGAATAAAAGGGAGTAGCACATCTAAGGAAAAGGGGGAAAAAATGGTGGACTGCGTTGTTTGGCGACCCCCGTGAAATGGTCGTTCGACCCCAAATGGGGTCCCGACCCACAGGTTGAGAACCACTGCTTTAAGAGAGCTTTCATCAACCTAAACTGTCTCGAGATATATGTACTTAGATTCCCTGAATTCTTAGCCAGTATGACTATTTCTGAAAATTCAAAATTTGAATTTGAATACATTTGGAGGATTTGTGGTTGGGAAAAATTGTTTTAGGTTTTACTAGTGCCGTAAGTGATGCTACCCATGGCTTTATTTGACTCTTGCTTTTCCTAACAGGCACCCATGGTATGCTAAAATGGCATACCATTAGTGTATTTTGGTAGATATCCAGTGATGATATCTAGCTCTCAGAAGGCAGTTTGAGAGAATATATTATTCTCTACCTCTTTTCTAAACAACTGACAGATTGAAAGCAGATAACCAGATCTTGGTAATTACATTCTGTTTAACTAGAATAGAGTTGTCAGTCATATCAAGTTAGACACATAGTCCTTCATCAGAGACTCACAATAGTTTTCACATCTGGATGTAAATAAACCCAATTTGTTAAAAATTTAGTAAATTATATATATTCTGATGCAATGTATTTATTGTATAAATTTGATACCAGAAGCATAATGGTACCATAATGCTATCATTCTGAAGGCAACTAACCTGAAGAGTTGACAAATTCATGACGGGTAAGATTTAATCTGAACTGCTATATGTTACCATAGGAAAAAACATTATTTTTGCTACAAGTTAATGTGAAGCACAAAAAGGGGCTGATTGGAAACATTTTCACTGTGGAAACAGAATTCTAGACTAAACATGACGTTATTTTTATCCAGTTCGGCTCTTCTTGTGTCATCCAAAATTTGAAGTGGCGATGTGCATGTTGTGTTTTCGTTCTTGTGCTTTGATCAGACTATGCCTGGCTTGAATTGCATTGACATTCTCAATTCCCAAAGGATTGTATTGTCATTTTGCTATTATAGTTCTATTTTTGCTTGCTTGATTGTTTATGTAGAAATTATTTATTAGGGTAGTAGGATGTGTATAACATACTCAATTTCATACATTCCTAGCTTAGAAGAGCTGTTCTAAGTTGCTATTTCTAGTGTTTCACTATAGGGGTCAGTGGGAACTCACAGCAAAATTATGTTGCCTCACTTTTTATCTCAGAGCTGATTTAGTCTTCTTGACCATAGTTAAATTTTATTATACTGCCTGTAATTAAACAGACTTGGATTGTCCATCAACGAATCCATCATCAATTGTGAAATTTTATCTTGTTTTTTTTTTTTACTTTATTTTTAGTGTGTTTCTATTTTCAATACTGGTCAGTGACTGTAATAAAAATTCTATTCTGTAATTATAGATGTGGAGATAATCTATAGACTGGTAGTTGTCATCCAGTCTATCAAAAAGCACTGACCAATGGAATAAGGTTTAATTTTTAAGCAAATATATTTAAACTTTGGTAAGAAACAATAGAAGAAACAATTTTTAAATAAAATTGTTAAATAATATTCAGTCAGAATATTATTCCAAACATGATGAATTTGTTTATGATTGTTTTATACATTTTTCGGTTATTTCTTTAAAAATACAACTGAGGATGATTTTCATATGTTAAAGAACAATGCTTGAAAATTATTGAAATCAGCAATAACATACATCTCTCTTTCTAAAAAGAATAGCCTAAACATCAACTCAAGTATTTTATTTTGTTGTTTTTATTTTCTAACAGTTCAGACACTTGTTCGTGAGTCACAAGTCATCAGAGAAGCTCAAGAGAAACAAATTCTGGAGTTAAAAAAGTTATGTGAGCACAGTACAGATTCCCTGAACAATGAATGGGAGAAAAAGGTAATTTTTGTTTGTTAGTGTAATGAAAATGAAAAACAAAACAAAACACAAAAGCTCTTGCCTGATTTAATTGGGAACATCAAATTTTAAATCAGTTACTGATTAGTCAATGGAAACATTAAAATTAATTTTGTATAAAATTTCCATAAAATGTTTCTGTTTACATGGTTTATAATTCTCATTGTGAAATCTTAAGAATGAGCAGTGGTTTTGTATACCAAAACACAATGCACATAAAAATATACTAGCATGAGTAATTCTGAAAATAATTCTGAAAATGTTGTGATGAAACCAGAGGGAGGATTAATTTAAGTATGATTCAAAATTGGAGTAATTATTAGTAGCTATGAGGATTACCTATGAAAACTCAATAAATCCAAATTCCTATGTCTTTAAAACTTCTTCTTCCTCAAAGTAGCATTGTTGTCACAGTAAATCTGAAGAACATTGTATTGGAAAATGCTGTTATTAATTGATTGTATGCTGTTTTTGATTCCTAGCGACCACGTAGATAGAATTTCTCCATGATTATCTATCCCTAACCTGTTCTTTCAAGTCTCCTAATGGTGCACTGATTGTCATATAACTGAATCCATCCACCTTGCTGCTGCTCGTCCTCCTCCTCTTTCCTTTCTACCTTTCCCAACATTAGAGCCTTTTTCAGAAAGTTGGGTCTTTACATAATGTGTCCAAAATAGGATAATTTGAGCTTGGTCATTTGTGCCTTGAGTGAGGACTCTGGGTTGATTTGTTCTATCCTGGCTTTCCATATTATTCTCAGGAATCTTCTCCAAGACCAAAGTTCAGAGGTATCAATATTCTTCCTATCCTGCTTCTTTAAAGTCCAACTTTCACTTCCATAGAGTGTCATAGGGAATATCATGGCTTGCACTATTCTGAATTTTATTGGAAAAAACACATCACAACATTTAACTGTGTTTTTCAAGGCTCTTATGACTACTCTACCTAGTGTTTGCTTGCAGCACATCTGGACTTGTTTCTTTACTGTTGTTGGTTGATCGTAGAAGGCAGAAGCTATCTACCACTTTTACCTTCATTTCAGGTCTAAGGCTGGTTGTTCTACCTATTCTCATTGTTGTTGTTACTTGCGAAGTTGTGTCCGACCCATCGCGACCCCATGGACAACGTTCCTCCAGGTCTTCCTGTCCTCTACCATCTTCTGGAGTCCATTCAAATTCACACCTACTGCTTCAGTGACTCCATCCAGCCATCTCATTCTCTGTCGTCCCCTTCTTCTATTGCCCTCAATCTTTCCCAACATTAGGCTCTTCTCCAGTGAGTCCTTCCTTCTCATTAGGTGGCCAAAGTACTTGAGTTTCAACTTCAGGATCTGGCCTTCTAAAGAGCAGTCGGGGTTGATCTCTTCTAGGACTGACCGGTTTGAACGCCTTGCAGTCCAAGGGACTCGCAGGAGTCTTCTCCAGCACCATAGTTCAAAGGCCTCAATTCTTTTGTGCTCAGCCTTTCTTATGGTCCAACTTTCACAGCCATACATTGCAACTGGGAAAACCATGGCCTGGACTATACGCACTTTTGTTGGCAGGGTGATGTCTCTGCTTTTTAGTATGCTGTCTAGATTTGCCATAGCTTTCCTCCCCAGGAGCAAGCGTCTTTTAATTTCTTGGCTGCAGTCCCCATCTGAGGTGATCTTGGAGCCCAGAAAAATAAAATCTGTCACTACCTCCATTTCTTCCCCATCTATTTGCCAGGAATTGAGAGGGCCGGATGCCATGATTTTGGTTTTCTTAATGTTGAGTTTCAAGCCAACTTTTGCACTCTCTTTCTTCACCCGCATCAAGAGGCTCTTTAGTTCCTCTTCACTTTCTGCCATTAGAGTGGTATCATCTGCATATCTTAGGTTGTTGATATTTCTCCCGGCAATCTTAATTCCAACTTTTGATTCATCTAGCCCTGCCTTTCTCATGATGTGCTCTGCATATAAGTTAAATAGGCAGGGCGACCAGTATACAGCCTTGCCGGACTCCTTTTCTCTCATTGATCTTTTTTATGTTTAATTTTAATTCCATTTTTTTCATGTTGTTTTTTTGAATTTTAGTTCTAGGCTTGCAGATCCTTTTCATTTTCGGCTATCATGGTGGTGATAGCATAGTAGAGGTTATTGCGGTTCCTTCCTCCAATTTTAAAACCACATTCATTTTCCATCCAGCTTTCCTTAATAAATATTCAGCGTAAAGTTTGAACAAATAAGAGAAGAATATATAGCCTTATCATACTCCTTTGCTAACCATGAGCCAGTCTGTTTCACCATATTCTGTCTGTACTGTGGCTTCCTGGCCTGCATATAAATTTCTCATGAGGACAGTGAGAATGCTGTTATAAAATACTACAATTAGATGAGCACTAGTGTAGGTTTATCTTGTTGCAATGCTTTAATACATGACATCGTTTTATGTTTTCAGATTTTGTGAGTATTTTCAATGGCATTGAGAGTGGGATGTGTAATAAATAAATAGCACTTCCTTTCAGCCCTACTTTGGTTATTGGGTATGCAGAATTTCCTGCTGCTACCACCCATCTTCCTGGAGCAAGGTAATGTCTTTCCTCTGCTCCCAGTCTTCCACAGCAGTTTGTGAGACAGATTAGCCTCTTGTGGCCTTATTATTCCCATAAAGTAGGAATAGTAATAAAATGATAAAGATCATGGTAGTAATAGAAAATAAACTCTGTAGCCTCAGTTCCTTGTAATCAGAGAACAGCAGTATTACTGTTTTGAAAAGTTGAAAGAAAAATATCAGTCGTATGATTTAAAGATTAATTTATTAAATATATGAAAAAGGAACAGGAACAGGAAAACTTTCTTTTAGCTTCATGTTTTATAAAATTCCCAGAGAATTATAGCTGGATGAAATAAGATATTTCTTGTTGATAGTCACATCCCTTCAAACATAAATTTTCCACGAGATACTATCGGGAGGATGGGACAGAAATCCAAATGGGCAGGATCTGTGACTAAAGTAGTATACATGAAACTAAACATGTATGAATGGAGTTTGCACGTAAACAGTGCATTTCTGATATAAAAATCAGCCACAGATTCCTTGAAACAGTTAGCAGATAGATCCAGGCTCTCAGGGTCCATAGGGCAGATGAGTGTATCTGAAACTAAAAGGCATTTGAGAAGGGATTTCCCCCAGCTCACTTCTCCAACTCACTGATCCTGACTAATCCTTGACTTTCATAGATTATAAACCTCAATCAAGGTTTTAGGAACACTTCCTCTTAGCGCCTGTTTTCTCCCTAGAGATTTATGGATTACAGTTAGGCTCCTGATCTCATTTTCAGCCGGTAGACAATCAGCTCTGGTCTTACTATAGGACCCAACCAGTTCATCTACTCACTTGGAATCTCTGCCTTCTCCCTGCTTGAGCCAGTCTTGTTTTCTGCTCCTGGAGGATTTTCAATCATGTCACTCCCAGAGACGATTAGCTTCATACTTATCATGGTTTTCTTCTGCTCAGATATTGCTTACCTCTTTCTTGCTCGTGCAAACTGGCTCACTGAAACCAAGTGACTACTGTATTTCCAGTCTCCATCTTGCTTGATCTTTAAGCAATGCCTTTTTTTCTCTCTCTCTTCCAGGCATTTTGTCCATTTTGCCCTCCCTTCCAGGTAAACTGATTGCAGGTGCTGCCTTTTCATTTATCTCTAGAAAAGATTTTTTTAAGAAAGAAAAGAGGAAGGGAAAATGTCCTTTTCCTCAGGAAAAAGTCTTTATCCCCACCTCCTGGACTAAAATTCAGCACGTCAAAAATAACAAAGGTTTTTCTCTCTGTAGCCAAAAGGAAAAGGTTGTGGGTTGTTTTAAGTGTATATATACATTTAAAGTTATTGTGGATTTGCCTGTCTTTTTGTTGAGGCATTTGGGATATGTGCATTGACAGTCTTTTTGCAATCTTGTCGACATGTAGCTGTATTGTTGGGGGTCTAGCATGTGCTGCTTGAGTAATGGGAGGTTACCCATTCACTGCATATAGCCACTCTGTGCCTCTGATGAAACGAACTGCAGCTCACAAAAGGCATCAATCTTTTGGAAAAGGTGCTATTAGATTCCTCCTGATGTTTTGTCGGTATAGACCAGTGGTTCTCAATCTTTCTAATGCCGTGACCCCATAATACAGTTCCCCATGTTGTGGTGACCCCCAACCACTTATACATCACTGGGTGCCAGGGGTGTGGCCAAAGAAAAGGGGGAAAAAATGGCGGACAGCCTTGTTTGGCGACCCCCGTGAAATGGTCGTTCGACCCCAAATGGGGTCCCGACCCACAGGTTGAGAACCATGGTATAGACTAACACTTTTCTTCTCTTGCAAGAAATAGATAGATTGCTTCTGTTATTGATTCCCACCAGGAAGAAACCACAGTGGGTTATTCGCAGGGTTCTGGTGTTAAAATAATTAAGCTGTTTGCATAGTCTAAACGGGTACTATGATTAATTAATTCTGTCAATTCCAAAATAAAGGTTAGCAATATGGATAATCCTTGATAAGGCATTAGCTTGACTTTTTAATTTAACTTCAACTTTATGGCAAAATATTGTCAAACTTTTTGTTCGCAAATGAACTGATTGCCTGGATTTGTTTAAGGTGTCCAAATATGGAAGAAAATATTCTTGATACTGATTATGTATAGCTGACCTACTTCATTTAAGCCTTACATTTTTTTTCTTTAGTGGCCTGATGCCTTTCCAGATGCCTATGTGGAATTTGCAGTAGATATTTTCTCTTTGCTCCTTGAGAGAGAAACGTCTGCTGCCACTTAGGATTGAACTCTCAACCTTCCAAATGAGAGGCGAGCATCTTCACCACTAGGCCATCAGGCTGCAGTTATTATTATGCAGTTATTAATTTAGATACATGTCTATTAAGTGATACAATTAGCTTTTAAAAATTTAGGAAACATCATAGATAGCATATATTCACAGAAGTATAATTTTAAATTTTGAATAATATATGCCTTCCTCAGCTCCTGAACGAGAAGTTGTGATATAAATCAAAGAAAGTTCAAAAGCTTTCATAGTATTGAATTGTCCCTTAATTGCTCTATGTTTGTGGACTGTATTTATCTTTGTAGCTCCATAATGCGGTAGCTGAGATGGAAAAAGACAAGTTTAATCTTCAGAAAAAACACACAGAAAATATCCAAGAATTGCTGGAGGATACAAATGCACGTTTAAGTAAAATGGAAGCAGAATATTTGGCAGAGACCAAAACAACTGTAAGTGTTACGTTATGACCACAAATACTTTTTTTTCACATTCCACCTGGCAGCCTTCTTAAAAGGGGATTGCCAGCATTCCAAAATATTTCTTTATCTGTATACAAGGTCTTTTCATCAATTCCTTTTTCAAACGACATTGAAGATAATGTACCAACTTGAATGCAGAAGTCTATCTCTGTTCTTCACCCAGACAGCTGGGTTTGAGGCTTTATGTATCAGTGTTCTTCTTTTGATGCAGCGTATGGTAAAGTGTGTATGTGGATTTCATAAAGAAAATGTTTGTGTGTTCCAAATCAAGTCTGTTTAAACAATTTTTTATCAGTGTTACATATTTATAGAAAAATAGTTTGATGTTGCTCTTAAAGCTTATTCAAACATTTCTTGTTAATGAAGATTGTGTTGGAAAAAAAATTAGTACTCAAAGCTTCTTATATGTAACAATATATATGGTAAGAAATGGATACAGTCTGTCAGCAGGATTGAATTTAAGAACCATCAAAAGCAGACAGATCTTGCACAGCAGCTCCTGATTTTAATAATTAAACAAGGTAGAGTTCAAGGCATGGCTTAAGATGAAAGACTATACTGTCACTGAAAATTAGTTTCTCTTTTCTGACTATTTCAGACTCCCCTCCCCCTATCTGTTTTTCATGAAATGTCGTTTGTGGAGCACTAACAACATTTGCTGAATGATGAGATTTATAAATTACATATTTGGAACAAGGATTTTTCCATTATATACTATTTGGGGCTGATATTAAAAATATTTATACCTTGAAATAATTAAGGCTATGTAGCTATATATTGCTAGTTACTGATTTTGCAAGTGACTTTAAAAATTAGTCATTTTCGGCATCTATATTTTTCTTGATTTACTATTTCCTAATTTAGCATTCAGTAATGAACATTATTTGGCAAGTAAATCTAAACAATCTAATAGTTTATTTTAAGTGTCAGACTACATTTTATCATTAAGTCATAATAAAAAACCCAAATATTTTCTAAGCTTATAATATAATACCCCAGAAAAAATGGAGGGAAAATTAACAATAAGTATAATGGAAGGAAGAGGGAAATGTCATATATAAAATAGACTTGTGGACAGATTAGCGTCAAGGACTCTAAAGTGATATTACTTAAGTCAAATCTGTTTAAAAAAATAAATTTAGTAATGGCTCTGTTTGAATAGGTGATGTGCTGATAATACTTGATGCAGCTTAACTATAATATATTGCTTAAACCATGTATTTTAATTTTGAAGCTGGGATCCTATAGGTACACTTAAATAAAGTTGTAAAGATTAAACTTTATAAGTTTAATAAAACCTACGGAGCTTTTGCCTAACAGTTTTCTTCAAAACAGAATTATTTTTTAATTAGAATTCAAAATATCCCATAAAATTTATATTGTTTACTCTGAAAATCTGAAAAGGAAGCCCATAGAAAAAATGAGATGTATATATATATATAAACGTTTGATTAATTTTTCTTATGTTTCATAAAGGTTATCTATATTTGGGAAGAGTTCCCATTTAGAATATTCTACAATTAACCTACCTTTATCATTCATTTCATCTTCAGTTTTTAAAAGTATGATAATGTACAAATCTCTTTGGAATGTTCCCTTTGATGTCAGTGAACCTTTTCTTTATGTATTTCATTTAAATAGTCTGAGTTGATCATTCTCATTTGACAGTTTTGGTATTATTCAGGCATATTGGGAGATCCCCACCCCCACTCTCCAAGTATCCTCCAAAGTATATGCAGTGTGATGCTGAATTTCCAGTTATGTATTATCATTCTTGGTGACTTCCTTGTTTGAAGAAAAAAACTTATGTATACATCCTCTGGCTGGCATTCAGAAGAGAAGACTCTAAATAGAAATAGAGTAAAATAGTTAGGATGAAGAAAGTGGGTTAAAAAAAAGAACAAAAGTCTGTAGAACTTCTATATCATTTCTCACAATTTGTTGCATGAATATTTTGTATTTTTAGCTGAGATTAAAAAGATGATCATCAATGAGTAAAAATAATTTGAATGCCCTATTTGTCACCACATTCTCTTAGTATAGCATATTTATTCTAAATATATTTAGAAGCCTACCTATATAATTTATGTCAAATAACTTTGTTTTAAAATTTATTTTACTTCAATAATTCGTTTTTCTGATTATGACAATGAGCAAGTAGTAATGTTATCTTCACCTAAACCTTCTGTCTCCTAAACATTTCAGTAGGAATTGCTCATGCAATTTCAAGTTAAGTATGACAACTATAAGTAGCTTATGTTAGTAGCTTACTGTTAAAATGAAGTAGTTCCTCAAGAAACCAAATTCAGTTTACAATCCATTATTAAGTTCTTTCCTCTTTCAGAATATATTTTACAATCCTGGCATAGGTTGAGCCCTTCTTGGTATTAACTTGTGATTACAGATGTATTCATTTCTAGTAATTTTTCTACTATTAGAATTTTTTTAAAGAAATCTTCTAATGGAGATAAAAGTGAATAGTTTTCAGGAAGGAACAGAGTAAAATTTATAAGACTGTATTATTGTGCCAATATAAGACAGTTTATTAGCAGTTTGTGGCATATGGTTTTCAGTGACCCAGCATGGCTGTAGTTGTACTGGTGCTAGCCAGCAAATGGAGTTAGAAAGCGGGAGAAGAAATTCAGTTATGGTCTTGAAGATCAGATATGATGTTATGAACTGTCCTGAGTGCTAACCAAGGTTCTTGTGGGGAGATATAGCAACAGTAAGTGGTCCAGCCTGGTACATTGGTGCTGAGGACTAGAGCCTTGGGGGGCATTTGCCTCCTCAATTGCTATGAGACATGCCTCCAATTGATCCCAAGTTGGAGAGCAAGAAAGGGAGAGGAAACAGAAAGACTGCAATTATGAAATAGTTGGGGAGGGAAGTTACATGAGTTTGCACATCAGTTATTGGTTCCTGGTTGGGACAGGAAAAAATGGTTTTCCCTGGAAGAAGGGAAGTGAAGACTCAGAGGGACAAGAGATTCACCTGAGATCCAAGATGGGAAACAATGGTTTGTCATTCACTGGTCTCTGGGAAAGGACTGGACAGAAGACCTTGAGAAATGTTCTTCCCCTAAACAGATGCTCAGCTGATCAGATCCAGAAGAAAATTTTACACATTACAGTAAATCCAGCCCATTCCTTTCTTTTTCAGTTTTACTCTTGATAAGCCCAGACTTGGGGGAGAGAGACCAAGTGAAAGGGGGAGGAAGCAGGAGAGCTAGAGGGGGATAGTGGAGGAAGACTTGGGATGACAACAGGTGAACACCAGAATTGTGCTGTACATTCCTGTTGTAAATGCTAGTTGGAAATCACTTCACTGTATGTAGAAAAAAGCATAAAAGCCTCTACTCTGTTTTTCTGTGTCGGTTGCCATACTTGTAAAACACACCTCTGGTTCAAAAGCCACCCTGTCACACTATGACTCTTAATGTATAAATATTGTCAAGTGAAGAACTGTATATGTGGATTAGTCATTAAGTTGGAGCTTAGTTGTATCTGTTTTTACTCAAGAAAGGTAAAATATTCATATTTACTGAACAGTTGCTCATCTGACAGTAAAAATTAGATATTGCAGAGCCTACTAATATTGTGTCAAATATTTCAGTAACATTCTCCTCTGGAATTTATTTAACATACATTCCATGATTATTATTCCATTTTATTGCTTATTTTTCTTCAATTATTGTTAAAAGAATTGTCACTTTAGTGTGGTTAAAGTAACTTTATTATGAGGCAATAGTATTATCTTGCAATTCCTATTACATTCTTTGCTCTTTTCTTTCCTTTGTATCAAGGACTACTCATAAATTAAACATGATTATCTTTTTTCTTTCACTTTCAGATACAGATATTTTATCATATTTGAAAGCTGTATGTAATCTTCCTTCATATAATCCCTGTGTCTTCTGTATAGTGAGGAATTAAATTTTACAAATGCTTGAAATTTTTTAGACCAACCCACCAACACTAAAACAATTTGTACGGCTATATTCCTAATTGTAGGGTTTTTTTTTTTTTGCTTGGTTGTATATTTACTTTACCCAGAGGGGCACCTAATTATGTTCCTTATTAAGATTATATACAGCCTTTCTTTTAAGGCAATTTTTAAAAGTTATCTTTACTTGTATTTACATAATATTTCCTTAGCTCTTATTCTTTTTTTCCATCTAATTGCCTTTTCACTCTTTTGGGGGGTTCCATTCTAAATACATGCAGAAATATTAATAAAAGAATAATACTAAGTATCTCAAAAATGACCGTACATTTCTTTACTGCACATGTGCTTATACAGACTTTGTCTTGCCTATTAAGAAAGATGAGAATTAATGAAATACATGAGCCAATCTAACTAGTCCTTCATCTTCACCATTGGGGTGTTTTTATTTATTCAATTTATATGCCGCCCATCTCGCCTGGACACAACTCTAGTGGCTTACAGTCCCTAAAACCCAATAAAAGCATTAAAACCATAAATAGTAACATTGAAATAATTTAAATTTAATTTTGAAAATATGAGCGGTACTCTTCCCTTCTTGTGCTTGTGGAGGTGGAGTAACCTCCGTTGGCTCAAGGTTAGAGACTGACACTCTCTTTCTCACAGGCACACACAGAAATAGAGTCCCCCCCCCCATGTAGTAGAAAGAACACAAAATATATTTGTATATGGATTCTTACTGCCTGCAATCTGATTTTAATCTCAGATTGCCAGATGGAGAAAAAAAGGTTTCTTGTTTTGTTTTTTTTCCTGACTGAAGGAATCTCATTTTTCCTGCCTTTTTGATGGAGGGTGCTATCAGTATTTAGTTTCTTCCTTTCAAAATCAGGACAGTTTCTCTCTCATGTTTTCGCCACCACCACCCCTTCTTTTGGCAATGACGGCAAGCAGCATGGTTGGAGGAAGACTGGGCATTGGGGCAGGTAGTAGTGGGGAAGTTGGTGAGTCCTGGCAGGCTGGGAAATTGGACCGCACACATTTACCACATTTCTTACATTCCCGAGTGACTGATTTTCTATACACAACTCCCAGTATCACCCCTTTGCCAGTTCATAATTCTGAATATTTCCTCGGAATAGTTGAAGGGAAATTAAAAGAAAAAAAAACACCTGTTCTTGATTTTTATCTATCACTACCATTTTGGCAGTTTGCAGCTGAAGAAATTAAGATTCCACAATCCGTCACCAAGTTCACAAAATTGTTGACCCCCAGTAAATAATAAGCAGCATTCCAATCTATCAGTATATTGTTAGAAAAAACACAACATGCATACGCTTTAAGTTATATCACCAGCTTGCTTCTTCACCTTAAGGTTATTTGAGCTAGATTTGCCCTTAGTAAGAATATTTTTTCCTGTTGCTAATGTTTTTTTTTTCTTCTACAGAAACTCATCCTACATATTTTCTTAAATTAACATATCTGCCTGGAGTCAGCTTATAAGGGAGATGGGCAACATAAAAATGTAATAAACAAATAAATGAAATATCAATATTACCTTGTTAAACAAACAAACAAATAAATGAAGTAACAATAGTAGCTTCTTGACCTTCATCATATATGTGCTGTGGCATTCCAGTATGTTTTCTCTATGCGTTTAACAACTTGGGAGAAAAATTCAGCAGCTGGGTTTCTGTGGAAGATCAAACTATATTTCTTGTTTGCCTGCTCAGGAAAACTTCTGTAACAAGGGAAAAGAAATCTCCAAACTCTAAACATATGTATTGTTCCCAAAATATGTAGGCTGTCTGCTGCTAATAAGAATGGCCTTAATTAAAACTCACATCTTTGGTAACTTATTTTATTAGAAATCTGTTGAGTATTTGGCATGTTTGTCAATAACCAAATACGTGGTTTCACAATTTCCCATCTGTTCAATCCTTGTTAGCTGTAGTTTTCTAACTGTAGAACTATATATTTAAGCTGATCGTTGTCATTTGGTTCACTAATGGATAACATTTAATCAGAATTGTCCCCCAGTTGCTGCTTCTTTGAGTTTTTGTAAGATGCTTATATCATTAGTGATGATATATAGCCATTGTATTATCTATTGTTTTTTTTCCAATTGCCTTGTCTTTGATTTTTGAAGGATCAAGGTTTTCTTAACTGTCTCTTTTTTCCATTATGTTTCTGAAATATTTATGCTTTAGATTTATCATTAATACTTTCTTGAGTATTCTGGTTTTACTTCATCTGATATTAAATGATTTATTTTTCCTGGGGTCCAAGGTATTCACAACTTTCTCAAGCACCACAGTTCAATGGCATCACTTTTCTTTGTTCAGCTTTTCTGGTAGTCTGTTTTCATAGCTGTAATTTATAATTGAGAAATTGTAACCTTGACAATATATACTTTTGTTATGATGTCTCTGTACTTCAATATCTTGTTTAGATTTAACATAGTCTTTCTCCTAAGCATCGGACATTTACTTAATTCATGGTTTTAGTCACCATCTTTTTGAATTTTGAGCCGGTTTGCATTGGCTTGGCATTGTCTATTGGTATTTTTCTGCCATCAATTTTCTAAGTTTCTATATCTTAGTTTTTTTTAAAAAAATATTAAACAGAAGGTTGGGTTTTACACTCTCTTTTTTCATTGTCATTATCAAATCTTCCTTGATTACAGCAATCAAAGTGATATAATCAGCATATCTGAGATTTTCTCTTAGTAATTTTAATTCTGATTTTTATTCATTTTCTATAGTCCAATGTTTTTTAATGATACAATCCGCAAATAAGTTAAATAAAGTGAGTGATACAAATTCCTTTTCCAGTTTTGAACCATATAGTTTTTATATTATCTATAGTCAGATGAGGTTTCCTGGTATACCTGTTTTTAACGGCTAATTCCATGCTGGCTCAGAAATTCTGGGAGTTGAAGTCCACAAGTCATAAAAGAGCCAAGGTTGCCTACCCCTAAGCTAACCCAATTAGTTGAGGGCTATACCTTTAAAGGCATTTGTATAATTAGTAAGGTAAAAAACAACAGAAATCTGAATTTGTTATAGCTTTAATTCTCCCCTTTTCACCTTTGCAGTAAGCATGACCATACTGGAAGCTCAAGTTTTCCATTTTTGTCATTCACTAAATTTCTTGAGCCCTCCCATCAAAAGTCAAAGTGGTATCTTCCTGAGTGGATGTGAATGCTTCATTGGCCAAGTATTTTCTGGCTGCAACATCTTAATTTTTTGCTTCTTACCTCAAGCCATTAAACTTCAAGCATTGCCTTGGAGGACAATCAGCTAGAGAACATGCTTTCTAGAGGTAGAATCAGAAATGGTTGCCTATAATCTTGGCTATACTGCTACTAATGCCTGGCTGAAACTAGCAAGCAGAGATGTGATGTGCTTTGGTTCTAAAGTCAAACATATTTCAAAATGAGTGTGGGGCAGTATGCTGGGCTTGCTAGGCTTCTTAAAGAAATTATATCTTTTCCTAGTTTTGCATGATAGCCATGTGATCCCTCCCAAATATGTATTTGAATTCAAATGGTGCTTACATCATAACCAGCCCCACTCTAAAGCATCTTATGCATTTTATTTTATCTTGTCAGAATTACTTTTATAGTGTCTTTTCATTTTTATGATTTTATATTTTTACAATTGTTTTTTTATATATTTGTTGCTTTTATTGATTCTTGTACACCACCCAGAGTTATTTCTGTGAGATGGTTGGTCATATAAGTATGATAAATAAATAAATCTTAACTGATGTTGTACAGCTGCTGTGATAGTCCATGAAGAACCAGCTTCTTTAACGTGCTACTGACAGGCACCAAATGGATACCCATTCCAAAATAGTTTGTAGATTCATATCCAAAGCTCAGCAGACCCTATTAGCCAACCATCCCTATTGGGTATGGTAGATGTAGTACAGGGCTGAGTTTCTTCATCTCTTATTGTCTACGTTATTTTACTTTAAAAAAAAAATACAGAGCACTAAGCAGAAAAACTGTGTTTAAATGGAAGAATATTCATTATTTTGAAGTATGTCATCCCTTTTGAAATGTATAAGGCTAATACAGTAGTTGCCAAATGGCTTTACTTTAAGTATGTATTAAAAGTTATTTGGAATTTATACAGACTTGGAATATGATTCATCCTTAATGAAGTGCAACATCTGGCATATGAGGTGCCTTCTTGATGTTGCGTATGTTTGAACATAGATGTCACTTGGCTTGATAATGAAATAGGAACTGTATACTTGCTCATCATGTTTCTTAAATAATAAAACTGCTTTTGTGTTTTGAGGTCCCTCAATATTTTCTGAGTCATCTGTCAATAACGTACTGAATAGCATCTGATAGGTGCATGAACGTATGTCTAATACAGCGTTTCACGTTATTTAGAACCAGATGGTCAAAGAGCTGGAGGCCCGAGTCCATCAGTTGACAATGGAAGCTGAAACAAGTCATTTGCAGCATCAGAAATTATCTCAAGAAAAAAATAATCTGGAACAGTCTTACCAGGTTGCATCTTTAGAACTTGAAGAAATTAAGGCAAGGTAGTTAATGATTTTTTTCCCTTTAAATTATGGTGGCATATTCTTTATTGCAATTTGTTAAGCATTGGCACTGAGTAATTGTGGAATTATAGTAGAATTAAGAATTCTATACCATGTGAAAAGTGATAAAATCTGCATTTTTACTTTTGTGAAGGTCTCTGGCTTTTTTTTTACTTCACTGCACAGTTCATTACTGTGAAATAGTCAAGTCATTTATTGTTTACACTTTGATATGATGAATCAACGTGAATTAAACATTATATGTTTGGACAAAATCAGGTCTTCTGATTCCAATATTTTTTTTAATATTGAAATTAGAGGTGGTGATGGAAAAGTATAACTTGTAGAAGGTTTCCTGTGTTGGTCTATTGAGGAAAAATGAAAAGGCTTGTAACATCAGAAGTAATCAATAATTGGGAAAGTTTTATTTCACAAACAAATGAAATGAACCTGAGCAAAATATGCCATGATAATCTAATTTAAATTACTTATTTTTGATACAGAGAAAAAAAATCTTTCTCTAGCGATTCTATAATGTCATCTAGATCATGGTTTGATTGAACTAAATTTACTGTATATTTTATGCATAGTATATTTTGTATAATTTTGACTATACATAATGAATCATATGCAGCTATTGATACTGGAATATAGTAGCCTTCACTAGATATAATTTTATAAATGCAATTCAGATTTTGTTAAGATTATTAAGTGTGAAAACATAAAGATACATGTAAGTTTAATCAAAAGGTCTTCTGTGGCCTTCTATGTCTTCTGTATTTTCTATGTTATGTAATCAAATGTTTTTAGGCATAATTCACTTCAGAAGGAAAGAGGGCGCATGATGGAAGAACATAAACAGAACATTAAACAATTACAAAGCAAGTATGAAGTGGATCTAAATTTGATGAAGAGGGAACATGCTCTTTCTGCAATGAAGGTAGATGTGGATGGATAATTTTACTTAACTAACAATACTGTATGGATCAAACAAAAAATTCTTAGTGTTAATTTCTGAAATTTAAATCCTGCATATCCTTCATAAATATGACTACCTTTATTCATTCTGAAAGCTACTGAGAGATCAAGAAGAGCAAGAATGGTTGCACTATTTCCATCCTACTACCACCACAGATTATTTACAAGTGTGACCAACGCCATTTTCCTCATAACGGGGGCTGAAACCTGACTGGAAGTGGTCCAAATAATACATTTCATCCAGGACCCTCTGGAGCTGCAGTGCAACATTTTTTCCACCACCTTCCCTAAAAAGGGGAGGTGGGAGACTGGATGGAAAGTTGTTTAGGTTTCTTAAGGAATGAATGAACCAGGGCTTCCTTCAATGATTTTGGGAATACCCTCTCCTTCAGTGATGTATTAATTACTGCCTGGCCCTACTTGCAATTCACCCTCCAGGAAGCTTTTACCAAGCAGGAGGGTGAAGGATCTAATAAAGAAATAGTTGCACTAATAGCCCTCAAGGAGCCTGTCCATTTCTTCAGGTGCAACAGAGTCAAAGTGTTTCCAGATATCTGGGCAAGTCTGTTCCCTGGGCATCTCTAATGGACCTCACTCCATGCTTGGTCTACAACTGAGAACAAATTGTGAGTGATTTTATTCATCAAGTGCTGGACAAATTCCTCCTCATGACCCTATAAATGTTCATTTGAGCCCTTCTTTCCTAAGAGGAATCAGGTGACCTTAAACTGGGCCAGAGGCCACACTCTGTGTATGCAATAAGAGTGGAGAAATAGTGATGTTTCCTTGCTCTTACCGCCATGAAGTAGGCCTTCACTGCCAACTCTGAGATGGCCTCCAGCAGCTCAGGCAGGAAAGTTGCTATGCAGCAGGGAGGCTGGCAGAATAGCAAAAATCCCAAAATCCCATGAGCTTCAAGAACAGTGTCTCAAGTCCTGAAACTTGGGAAACATGGCCCCCTGATGGTCAAAGGAGATTCCTGTATGACAATTGCTATACCCCTTTCCCTGCTTGGAAACAAACCCCAAACCCAGCTGGACACATCTCTGAGAAGGGAACTACCCCTTCTGGTGTCAACCAGTCTTCGTAATGCATGGCAGGTCAGCTTGTTCCTCACCAATAAGGTCACAAATGAAGAGGATCTTGTTAACTGACTTGGCATTCATCAGCAGCAGCCAAAGGACTGGGACTTCAAGGATCTGCTGTCCAGGGTCTGTGTATGAGCTTGGAGGGTTGGAACACACCACTGGTATTAAGTATTAAGCATCAGGGGTACCTTTCTTTGTAATGGCCTGGCCTCTGGCTCCCATTTCTACCTCTACTTTTCATCATTGATTTGGTTGCCCCACCCTAAACCCTGTGAGGAGGTCTTCTATCTCCCTTCTACCTCCCTGACCCACTGGGTATTACTGGCCCTGCCATTTTGCCAGTCTACCAACTCATCCAATGATTCAGTACTCCTGTGGCACTTTGGCTGTAGCTCTCAGTGCTGCTGGGAGTCCTTAATCTTCACAACTCCATAGACACTCAATGTGGCCACCATAAGATGGTCTCTCCCATTGTCCAGCTTGGATGGGGACCACATTCATATACCCACCCTGCCTATCTCATATCCAGACGAGGGTTGCAAACATACAATAGGTAAGCTCTCAGGTGACTCCTATGCTGTCACCCTAGAGGTTAACCTACTATCTCCTTGGGTCCCTGGACTCCTGTGCCCCCCTCCAATCACCCATTAGCCTCTCTCTGTCAACCCTAGAGAAAGCCTGTTGTTGCCAATATTCTTGTTCAGATGGTCTGGCCTCACCCTTCAAGTTATTTATACTTCTGGGCTCCATGTTGGCCTTGAACTCTGGCCTCCAGCATTATTGGGTGTTCTGCCAGCACAGGCCTGACCTACCTTAAGATGTCACCAAACCCATCTCCGGTCTTTAGGCCTTGTACTCCTCCTCCTAGTCTGTAGACTCTGTGCCGCTTATTTCTTTGCCAAGACTCCTGTTGACTCTCTGGGCTTCTGGCCAGTTCTTGCCTTCAGTCTCCCCTTCTTGTCCTTCTGGGCTGGCTCCAGCTATGACTTCAGGCTGGTTCCTCTGGCTATGCCTTCTCTGGCCTTCCTCCCTCAGCACACATGTTCTGGTGCAGCCTCCAGGCCTGCATCCCCTTCCGACAGACACTGTGTTAAACTCTGGGCCTGCTGCCCATCTCCCATTGATTCCTTGTCCTGATCATGTCACTCAGTGCTCCAAATGACAGTTTTGGCTTGGCTCTGCTTCTGCTGCCCCCCAATCTGTGGCCAGAGGTTCATGCTGGCTAGTAGAGTAGAAACAAGTTCTGGGTGGCTCCCAATGCTGGGTTGATTCTCTGTGCTGACTTCAACCTCTGCCGGTCTCCCATCTCTGCCATGCCTTTGCTCCTGTCACTACAGCCGTTCCATCTTGGTCCCTCCAATCTCCGGGCTGCAGCTGAGTAGCTGCGCAAGCAGCAGTAGGCAGGAAGAAGGTAGGGTTGAGGCTGAGATTGAGGAGTTCATTTGGTCTCCTGAATGGTGAGGAAACTCACAATACTCCCATCCTCTCTCTTCATGGCAGGGAAACATGTTGCAAAGATTAAGTGATATGATGTTGAATATTTGTCTGAAGTCAATTCACAGTCTCAAAGCACCAGAATCCTACTAGATACAGGTCCCGGGGAACTTTGAGTACACTCTCATTTCGTCTTAAGTTGAGGAAAGGTTTTTTTTTTTAATGGCTGGGCACAATGTGTTCCCATTGCTACTTCTACAAGAATATTCAAAACAACATTATAGTTCTTTTTTACTGCAAGTGCTGGAGACAACAGATGATTACTATACTTACTTCCTCTCAGACCTTTATATATCCTTAAATTATGAGTATAGAAGACAGTTACAAAGCTTTAAACAAGCACAATCAATTATGCTCAGATTATTCCAAGTAGAACTTCACTTTTGGACTTTTGCAAGAAACTAAGAGAAACATAATTTTGATTTTGGGATTTGGTTATTAGAATTATATGGGATTATGGAAGTAAGATAGACTATTCTTTACTTTAGAGCAAGAGTTGGATTATTTTATATCTATATACTAAAAGTCAGAAGCCATTCTTTTTACTTTTTTCTTGTTTTCACACTTTAATCGTGCTTCTTGTCTGATTCATTTTTTTCCTATCCTTTTTTCTTGTGTGTTTACTTGTTATTTATGTTTCTGAAATTTAATTTTGTACTGTAAAATGCCGTCACTTAGGTGAGATGGGTCATATAAAAATGTGATAAATAAATAATAAAAATCATACTAAAATTATTCCAGGTAGAACTTTATTGTTTTACTGTACACCTTTTGCATTTTATCACCACATTTTAATTATATCAATGTTTTAATATATTGGTAATTTTTTTATCCTATTAACCTCTTACGTAGCAGTATAGTTCTGTTCATACTTGACAGTTAAACATTTCTCAGAATTTCTCGCCTGACATACCTTAAATATGGTCTGCCATTCTAATCCTTATCTTCTGGTTTTACCTTTCCTCTACTTTTTTCTCCTTTGGCTACGTTTATCACACTGTCTTTCTTCCCTGAAATAATGTTACCAAATTATACTTGGATCTGGTTATTAATTTTGATAAAGTATTTGTTATGAAACCTAAAATACCCATAATAGAGAGCTGTCTGTGAAAACTGATTAAAATTATTTGATCATTGACTACTTTGTATCCATAATGTACTGTCTTTAATGTATCCTTCCTATTATGAAAGCAGTGTCATTTTTTTTTGTCTTCTGAGTAGTAAACAGTTTAATATTCTGACTTAATATATCCAGTTCCAGTCTGTTTCAGTTGATAGATGGCTTATAAGATGTCAGTTTATTTTATATTTCACTACACTGAACTTCCTTGCGTTCATATTTTTTTACCTTCCATGCTCCCATCGCAGTACTGTCTTCGTAGCTTTGGGTTTTCTTTCCCTGCATGGCAACATCAACTAAATGTCTGAAAATCTTTAATCTAGCTACATCAAAAGCATCACTAGTGTACTGAAAGATCCTCAGACATTCTTCAATAGCATATTAAGTTGCATTGGACCCAAGGGGCCCATCATCTGACACTCAGTCACTTTATCTTGTCTATTCATTTGGTTTTCATAGTAAAATACGGAAGTGGCTTAACGTTGCCTTCTACTGTGCAGCATGGAATGATATCCTTGCCACTCTCAATAAATTGATCATCCACTTCCAGCCACCTTTCTGAGTTAAAGCACACCAGGAGTATATGAGGCCAAGGGAGTATATTTCTAGTAGATCACTCAAAGACTGTCACTAACAGTTATCTATGAGCATATAGGTAGTTCTTGACTTACAATCATTCATTTAGTGATCATTCACAGTTATAACGGCCCTGAAAAAAGTGGCTTATGACCGTTTTTCTGGTCACATGATCAAAATTCAGATGTTTGGCAACTGGCATGTATGTATGATGGTTGCAGTGTCCCGGGGTCATGTGATCACCTTTTGTGGCCTTCTGACAAGCAAAGTCATTGAAGCCAAATTCACTTAACAACCGTGTTACTAACTTAGCAACTGTGGTGATTCAAGGTTGTAAAATGGGGCAAAACTCACTTACCTGCTTTGCTTAGCACTGGAAATGTTGGGCTCAATTGTGGTCATAAGTTGAGAACTACCCGCATCTGGCATCCTTTCTTAATGTACTTCAATTCATATCTTTTGGAAGCATCTCTCCCTCCACAGCTATATCTAGTAGGTTAGCATAGAAAGACTTCAGTTTCTTTGAACAGATAGCATCTCTAAATTGCGTATCCAGTCAGTGGCTATATCACATTACATGGTTTGCATTTAAAAGCTTTCATGCCTTTTATTTAAGTATTTATTATATTTTTTAACTAATCCAACAACTCCGCAGGTTGCATAGAGTATAGTAACAAAGCAAAACCAATTATACAAATGCCTAGGTATAAAAAACCATAAATTCATAGATAAGCAACCACAGCCAATCAAGTGGAATTGACTGATGAACAACAACAAAAAATCATTTTACAGGTAGTTCTGGAATTATGACAGCAATTGGGACCAGGAACTTTGTTGCTAAGTGACATGGTTGTAAAACAAGATGTCACATGACTGTCGCTTAGTGATGGCAATTCCAGCAGTTCCAGTTCCTCTAATTAAATAAGGACAGCATATTGTACTTTGTCAAATGATGACTTCACTTGATCATGACTTATAACTTCCTACGGGCCTCCCTATTGATTTTGTGGTAGCTCACAGGGATTATTGGAAATCATGATATGTGATGGCAGTCTGTTGTGACTTGGTAATTGTGAGCCAAATTCAGAGCACCTGGATTGCAAACACATGACTGGGGACATTTTATGATGGCTGGAACTCTGAAGATCCCTGTGTTCAGGGCCATTGTAACTTTGAACAGTTGCTGAGCAAGTGGTCATAATCGAGGACTGCTTGTGGCAGTTTTGTGAAATAATAAGACATTGTTCCATAATAAGCTGGCTGGTACAGAGATAGCTTGCTGTCCAGTCCAAATTGCATAAACGTCTCAGAAAGGAGGGACTCTTAGCATGCCTTCTAGGGTGATTGGAGTATTTCATTCCTTTTATCTTTTAAAGCATAATTTTGAAAAGTATAGCTATTTCTGCCAAAAGAATTGAAGACCAACATTCCTATTTTCTTTAAATCTTTATAGACATCTGATGTGATAGAGGATTTAAAGCAGTGTGTGTCTCAATTAAAACAACAGTTAGTAGAATCAGACCATCAAAGGCAACAACAATTGCAGGTGAGCCCTGATTTTTCACTCAGTAGAATGATGAGCACTTTCTGGTTTTTTTCAGAGGGGGGGGGAGGGAGGAGTGTGCATGTGTGCATGTGTGTGTGTGAGAGAGAGAGAGAGAGAGAGACAGAGAGAGACAGAGACTTGCTGGAGGCCTTGACAATATTGTGAGGAAAAATAATAGAATATTTTGTTATTTCAGGCTAAAGCTTTTAAAGATTTTTTTCTTTTGTTCTTTTTTCTTGAAATGATTTGAAAAGTGTGCTTATCAGTGGAATAAAAGAAAAAGCATTCAGTGAAGTTGAAAATTATCATCCTGTCTATCTTAACATTTATATAAATTAGTGCATTAGCATAAATCTATTGTCTTGGGGCTACATTGTAAGCATTCTTGGCTTCTGTTCTCATTTCTTACAGCAGGGGTCTTTCAAATTTTTTGCACCTACATCTTTCAGCATTCTTTGGTCTGATTGTATTAGATGGCATATAGAATTCTACAATATCAGGAGTCCATAACTTTCCAATTACTATCTCTAACAGGTCAGCTGAGGCAGACCTGCATTGGATAGCTATCACATTTTGTATATCCTGCATATATATGCCTTACTATGCTAGCATGCCTCTATATATGGCAGGGGAGTGGGTGGAACCATTTAAAGAAAGGCCCTGATTACCTCAAAAGGGGGAGACATTGGCAATAGAGGCTGAAGGAATGATGTGGTGGTAGAAACTGCCTCAGGAAAAAAAAGAGATGAGGAAAGATGGAAAAGAAGAACTTTCCAATAAGCTGAAGGGGAAAGGCAAAAGGCCAAGATTGATTCTGCATACTTTCAACAAAAAGGTTATATGCATAATTTTTGTATGAGATTAGAACTGAGGAGATTTTCAATTCAGTTTCCCATCCCTTTCCTTGGCAAATCTATTACCTATTCTAACATTACTGATCTTCCCATTGAGTATACAAGACTTATAATTTCTAGGATTATATTTTAGTTTATGATGAAAATAATCACAATGGTAATTTTATTGACTCAACTATTTTCAGGAACAAGAGCAAATGTTTCTACAAGAAACAACTGATTTAGAGAGAATTCATGAAAAAAAGGTAATCAAGAAATACTTTTTGTCTACACAGGATATCATGTTAAAACCATAAAAGTTTACTTATATAAACCATAATATGGGAGTATTGGGCAGAGAGAATATAAAATTGGTAAATGTAGAAACTCTAAAAATAAATGTTGAGCAAGAATGAACCTTTCAGAACATTTATATTTTGTCTGAGAAATATATTAGTACTTGGCTATGTTTCAGTAAAGTTCAGATAAAAATGAATTTTATATCATAGATATTAAAAAGTCATGTTCAGCAATATTTAAGATCCTTGATCACCAGATATAACTGACAGGGTTACTGGCAATGAGCATCACTGGCAGTGCTTTATCTTGGTCTCAGTCAGATCTCTGTGGTTATTTTTTTCATTTATTCTAACCTCAGTGTATTCCATGATGTTTCTTTGTTCAGCAGGTGCCCTCTAAAGTGCTGCTTTTGTTTTTGTAATTTTTTCCCCCTTGTATAGCCTTTCCCTTGATTGCCTAATCGGATAGTCCGGCTTTAAAGACTGCATGAATTCCAAATGGTATCAGTGGCTTCCAAATGGTATCAGTGGCTTCCAAATGGCTTTTTTCCTAAGATAAATGAGAATGTGTGGTTCTCCCTATAGTAACACCTTTTAGACACATTGATAAGTTGCCTACTTCATCAGTAAAGACTGAATATGGATAAGACTGAGATTCTGGTGTGTCTCAACTGGACTATCTTGCCTATCCCTTCAGTATTCTTTGCCTTCCCCTTCAGGTTTGTGAGTTGGTTTTGGTTACAATGGCTAGGAACCATGAGATGATAACCCTCTTCATTTGGTAGTGGTTGGTTGCTTACAGTGGAAACTCTGATCTTGGTCCAGAATGCCTTGTTCTAGATCTGCCTCATTTTCCTATGTTTCTTTCTATAAGTATAAAGGGTATTAAAGCAGATTCTATTAAGGGCAGAGCTTAGTTTCAGTTCTTGGTGCTAGAGTTTAAGGCCCTATGATAAACAGTCCCTCACTACCTGTCCCAGCTCCTCTCTTGCTGTGATTCTGTTTATATGTCATAGTCCAGTGGTCCCCAAACTTACTGGCTTGGCGGTCTGGCAGGGGAGAGGAGAGGGGAACATGCACATACAACCCTTGCATGAGTGGTGGGCCGGTGCACACGTGCAGTTCAACTTGCATGAGTGGCGGGTTGGTGTGCACGCATGCAAGTGTCCACCAGCCTGCCACTGTGGCCAGCCACTCACATGGCCCAATTTCAAATAGGCCTCGGCCTGCTACTGGGCTGCGACCTGGGGGTTGGGAACCTCTGTCATACTCAGCAGGATAGGGATCTTGTTTTCTATAGTTGTCCTCGACTTATGACCACAACTGAGCCCAAAATTTCTGTTATTAAGCAAGCCAGTTGTTAAATGAGTTTTGCCCCACTTTATGATTTTTCTTGCCACAGCTGTTAAGTGAATCACTGCAGTAACACAGTTGTTAGGTGAATCTGGCTTTTCCATTGACTTTGTTTGTCAGAAGGACACAAAAGGTAATCACGTGACCCCGGGAAACTGCAACTATCATAAATACATGCCAGTTGCCAAGCGTCCAAATTTTGATCATGTGACTATGAGAATGCTACAAAGGTCTTAAGTGTGAAAAATAGTTGTGTCACATTTTTCATGCCACTTTAAGTTTGAAGGGTCACTTAATGAATGGTTGTAAGTTGAGGACTATCTCTACTTCCCTTTTCCCTGATACTCCACCCTGTTTGCATGTTTTTCAAGACTTGCTTCATATATTATAGAGCAGGGATTTTCAACCAGTGGTATGCGTACCACTGGTGGTACATCGGCACCTGGCAGGTGGTACGCGTACAACGGGTTGAAAAGCACTGTAAAAAAAGTGTAAAAGTGGATGAGATGAAGTGGCAGCAGTGGCACACAAGCCTATGGGAAAGTCAGCTACAGCTGTCTGAAATGTTGCCTGGGTTCTGCTGAGAGCCCAGGATCAGCGCACCCATCTACAAATGATCAGTGCTTCCAGCACACCTGGAAGAGAAGAGGGGAGAGAGAGGGGAGAGGCTATAAAAGGAGCAGGTTTTGGCGGGAGAGGGAGAAAAGAATAAGACAATGGGGGAAAGAGAAGGGAACGGCGAGACAGAGACTGAGAAGCGCAGCCTTGAGGAGAGCAGTCAGCTGGAGGTGCACCTAAGAGAAAAAATGGGGGGGAAGAGGAGACGATATAAAAGAAGGAGGAGAGAAGAGAGGATATAAAAGAAGGGGAGGAGAGGAGAGAATATAAAAGAGGGGAGAGAAGAGAGGATATAAAAGCAGGGAGAAGAGGATATAAAAGGGGAGAGAGGAGAGGATATAAAAGAGGAGAGGATATAAAAGGGGGAAGAGAAGAGGATAAAAAGATAGGGGAGAGAAGAGAGGATATAAAGGGTGGAGAGAAGATATAAAAGGAGAGAAAGGATATAAAAAGAGGGGGGAGAAGAGGTATAAAAAGGGGAAGAGGAGGATATAAAAGAAAGGGGGAGAGGAGAAGATATAAAAGGAGGAGGGGTGAGAAATTTGTTAAATGAGTTTTGCCTCATTTTATGACTTTTCTTGCCACATTTGTTAAGTGAATCACTGCAGTTGTTAAATTAGCAACATGGTTGTTAAGTGAATCTGGCTTCCCCACTGACTTTGCTTGTCAGAAAGTTGCAAAAGGGGATCACATGACTCTGACAATCATAAATATGAATCAATTGCCAAGCATCTGAATGTAAATCACATGACCCTGGGGATGCTGCAGTGGTCATAAGTGTGAAAAATGGTCATGAGTCACTTTTTTCAGTGCCGTTGTAACTTCGAACAGTCACTAAGTGAACTATTGTAAGTCAAGGACTACATGTATTTTATTACTCCCCCCCCTTTTTTTTTGGGTCATCAAGTTTTTGACATCTTGCTAGGCGACTGGTGGTACTCGAATATTGCCATATCCTAAAAGTGGTACAATCTGTGAAAAGGCTGAAAACCTTGTTATAGAGTTCTCTGCCATGCTCCAATTCCAACATTTTTTTATATATTTTAAAAAATTGAAAATTTATTTAATAAAGCAGACCTTTTATTGTAACTACCTAGAGAGCTTTGGTGAGCAAAAAGTTAAAAACTTTTGAAAATGTTAGTAAAGTTAGATGGTAGATTTGGTATAATCTTATTGAAATTAAATAAAGTTAAAAGTAAGGTTATCAGGTTTAGAGGTTCAGTATTAGTCTTAGTTTTACTGTGATTATAAAAATGTTGTGATACATAATGATTTATTAATAATAATAATAATAACAACAACAACAATTGGAGCACCACTTGAACACCATTGGCATTGACAGATTTGCTATTAGTCAATTGCAAAAGGCGGCCTTACTAGGAACTGCTTCCATCCTGCGACAATATCTGTAATACCATCAAACATCCACATCTGCCTATCCCAGGTTCTGGGTAAGTACTCGATAGGTAGACAGAATGCCAAATCCAGTCTGAACATCTGGCTGACTGTGTGATGATCCATAATAATAATAATAATAAAGTTGGAAGGGACCTTGGAGGTCATTAAGTCCAATCCCCTGCTCAGGCAGGAACCCTACACCATTTCAGACAAATGGCTGTCCAGTTTCTTCTTAAAAACTTCCAGTGTTGACGCATTCACCGCTTCTGGAGGCAGGTTGTTCCACTGGTTAATTGTTCTAACTGTCAGGAAGTTTCTCCTTAGTTCTAGGTTGCTTCTCTCCTTGATTAGTTTCCATCTGCTGCTTCTTGTCCTGCCTCCAGGTTCTTTGGAGAATAGCTTGACTCCCTCTTCTTTGTGGCAGCCCCTGAGATATTGGAACACTGCTATCATGTCCCCCCTCGTCCTTCTCTTCGTTAAATCAGGCATACCCAATTCCAGCAACCGTTCCTTATATGCTTTAGCCTCCAGTCCCCTAATCATCTTTGTTGCTCTTCTCTGTACTCTTTCTAGAGTCTCAGCATCTTTTTTTACATCGTGGTGGCCAAAACTGGATGCAGTATTCCAAGTGCGGCCTTACTAAGGCATTGTAAAGTGGTATTAATACTTCACGTGATCTTGATTCTATCCCTGTGTTAATGCAGTCTAGCACTGTGTTGGCTTTTTTGGCAGCTGCAGCACACTGCTGGCTCATATTTAAGTGATAGTCCACTAGGACTCTGAGATCCCTCTCACGGTTACTTTCATATCATTTTGAATATTAGTTTTTAATTTGTTAATTTTGATTGTTAGATTATCCAGGTTGTCTAGAGTGTGCATTAGAAATAAACTGAGCTGAAGAAGCTTCTTGAATGAAAAGTGAAATCTCTTAACAAAAAACCCCAAGAAAGTCCAGTTGCCTCGTGAAAAAGCATCTTTGGGAAAACTGTTTATTTGTTTCTTTGAATTTATTTTCTTTGGAATTAGGGAGAGATAGGAAGTGAATGCTGCTAAATCACACTATCAGAATTCCAATATCATTGTAAATAGATTTTATTTGCTATTTAGAATTCAACTGTTTAATTTTTTAACATAAATATTGATAAATATTAATTTTGTGTTTTTTAAAACTGAACTACATAAAGTATCACCTTTCTCTGGCCTTTGAAAGCTGAAGCTGGTAAGATGACAAGGATTTAGTAGGACTGCAACTCTGAGGATTCTTTAAGTCCCTGCCAGTCAGATTAAATAAAACTAGGTTAAATGGAATAGTCACACTTTATTAAGACAGTTGGCTGTGTGACCAGCATTTAGCTTCTTTCATGATTATTATAATTAAGCATTGATTGTAGAGGTAATGTGAACACTATTCTGAAAACAGCTATGGTTTTGTTAGATTCTCAATCCAAATTTCAATAATCACATTTCAAATATGTACCATACCTGTACAAATCTAATAATAATCATGCTTTTTGTGTTGTGAAAAGACATTGTTCAGCTGCAGAGGTGGTTTGTCAGTATGGAAAACAGCTATTACAAAAAGAGAAAAGGAACTTTCAAGTCCATATTATTTGCAGTGCAAGCGTATTACATTTTAGGATTTTAGATACAGCAACATAGTTATGTAATTTTATTAGCAGGACTTCAGTATTATTCAAAACAGTTCTTTAGATGTGTAATTTATTTTCTGTGTAACTAAAAAGTCTTAACAAAAGTCACAGTGCAACAAAACAAAAATAATTCACTATTAAACAGCAATAGTAAAAACATTGCAACCATAAAACCTTGCAATTAGGTTAGAGTTAGAGCATAAAATTGTAATAGGAAGGGGTTTTAGAGTCTATATAGTGTAGAATGTACTAGAGTATTTCTGACAGATAATTACAATATGTGAAGTCCTGCAGTATTGATCTCTACTTATTAATACTTAGTCTGTTGCCTTCTTCATTTGCTGTAATTTCCAAACTCTGAAGTCTGCAGAGATTGCAGTTATAGAGCTAATCTGAATAGCCCCAAATCCGAATGATAGTGGGTTTGTCACTCATCAATTGGTTTCTAGAATTAACTCCACTTTATCTTTTTTTTTCTTAAAAATTAGATTTATGAAATTCAGAGTGATTTTGATAAAGAGAGAATAGAATCACACAAGAAGATACGGAAGCTGGAAGATCTTCTGAGGTAAAAAGAATATTTGATTATGAAATCCTTTCTTCAGATGGTTTTAAGAAAGATTATACAGGTAGTCCTTGACTTACAACCATTTGTTAAGTGATCATTCAACATTACAACAGCACTGAAAAAGTGACTTATGACCGTTTTTCACACTTATGATCATTGTAATACCTTTGTGATCACATGATCAAAATTCAGACACTTGGCTACTAGCATGTATTTATGACAGTTGCAGTGACCCAGGATTATGTGATCATCTTTTGCAATCTTTTGACAAGCAAAGTCAGTGGGAAAGTCAGATTCACTTAACATGTTACTGACTTAACAACTGCAATGATTCACTTAACAACTGAGGCAAGAAAGGTTGTAAAATGGGGCAAAATACACGTAACAATGTCTTTTTGGAAATTTTGGGCTCAATTGTGGTTGTATTTCAAGAACTATCTGTAGTCCTTGTATTTTACTGATATTCTAATTCCATTTACATCTAAAATTCATGGATTTGTTGTAGTTTTATATAGAATTTTCTGTTTGCTGACTAGATTTTGTCTGTAAATCTAAAATAAATTAATGCAAAGTTTGAACATCCTAATAATTACATGTGAAGTTTTTATAGATTAATAATACAAATATTCATGCAGATTATATTATTTTATACTTGCTACATGAGTGTGCTTAAGTAGCTAAGTCAAAAAAGTCTACAATGTCAGTTCAAAGAAAACAAATCTCCCAAGTTTAATAAATTAGGCATAGGAGTGGGTGGCTAGGCCTGAAGAAATCACTATAGATTTCATAGATGAGATATTTAAGATGAAGGGATTGTATTAAGAAAAAATGGAAAATTCTACAGCTCTATAAAATAAGTTGATAAATAAATAGTAGTAAAGTTGGAAGGGACCTTGGAGGTCATCTAGTCCAACCCCCTGCTCGGGCAGGAAACCCTAAACCATTTCGGACAAATGGCTGTCCAGTCTCTTCTTAAAAACTTCCAGTGTTGGAGCACTTACTGCTTCTGGAGGCAAGCTGTTCCACTGATTAATTGTTCTCACTGTCAGGAAGTTTCTCCTTAGTTCTAGGTTGCTTCTCTCCTTGATTAGTTTCCACCCGTTGCTTCTTGTCCTGCCTTCAGGTGCTTTGGAAAATAGCTTATTCCCTCTTCTTTATGGCAGCCCCTGAGATATTGGAATACTGCTATCATGTCCCCCCTTGTCCTTCTCTTCGTTAAACTAGACATACCCAATTCTCGCAACCGGTCCTTATATGTTTTAGCCTCCAGTCCCCTAATCATCTTTGTTGCTCTTCTCTGTACTCTTTCTAGAGTCTCAACATCTTTTTTACATCGTGGTGACCAAAACTGGATGCAGTATTTCAAGTGTGGCCTTACCAAGGCATTGAAGAGTGGTATTAATACTTCACGTGATCTTGATTCTATCCCTCTGTTAATGCAGCCTAGCACTGTGTTGGCCTTTTTTGGCAGCTGCAGCACACTGCTGGCTCATATTTAGGTGATTGTCTACTAGGACTCCAAGGTCCCTCTCACAGTTACTACTATTGAGCATGGTGCCACCTATGCTGTACTTGTGCATTTGGTTTTTCTTTCCTAAATGTAGAACCTTGCTTTTTTTCACCATTGAATTTCATTTTGTTAGTTAGTGCCCAGTGTTCAAGTCTGTCCAGATCCTTCTGTATCTGAAGCCTGTCTTCTGGAGTGTTGGCTATTCCTGCCAGCTTGGTGTCGTCTGCAAATTTGATGAGTTCCACATCTATCCCTTCATCCAAATCGTTGATGAAGATGTTGAAGAGTACTGGGCCCAGAACAGAGCCCTGGGGCACCCCACTACACACTTCCCTCCATATAGATGCAGTTCCATTGAGGACCACTCGCTGAGTACGGCCGGTCAGCCAGCTACGGATCCATCTGGTGGTGGTTCTGTCTACCCAACATTTTTCTATCTTGTCAAGTAGTAGGTTGTGATCTACTTTATCAAATGCCTTACTGAAGTCCAAGTAAATTATGTCCACAGCATTCCTCTGATCCACTAATTTTGTCACTTGGTCAAAGAATGCAATAAGATTTGTCTGGCATGATCTATTTTTGACAAACCCATGTTGGCTTTTAGTAATGACTTTGTTTGCCTCTAGGTGTTCGTTGATTCGTTGTTTGATTATCTGTTCCAGGATCTTCCCAGGTATTGAGGTCAGGCTGATAGGTCTGTAATTCCCTGGATCCATTTTTTTTCCTTTTTTGAGGATGGGAACTACATCAGCTCTTTTCCAGTCCTCTGGTAGTTTCCCTGTGTTCCAGGATCTTTGAAAAATATAGTTCAGTGGCTCCGATATCACATCTGCCAGTTCCTTGAGAACTCTGGGGTGTAATCCATCTGGTCCTGGCGATTTGAACCCATCTAGGCTGGACAGGTGCTCCCTAACGATTTTCTTGCCTATCTTAACTTGTGTTTCTGTTTTGTTTTTTATGGCACTATTTTTGATAGGTTGGTCTGTTTTTTCCCTTTGTGTAAAGACAGATGCAAAAAATGAGTTAAATAGTTCTCCTGAAGATCCTGAAAATGGTAGACCAGTATGACTTAATAGCTATTGATTGCATTGGTTCCCTCCACTCCATATGGCCTTTTCCAATAATAGGAAATGTGATTGCCTTTATTTTTTTATTTTTTAAGTGGGCAGACTGTTACAAAACACATAGTTTTCCTTTAAAATTAAAGAAAAAAAGTGCCCAGAAGATGATGGCTTGAATGTTTTGTTAACAATTTATACTTCAGAACGACCTCTGAAAAATCAAATATCTTCATGTATGCTTGCTAAATTTGTCACAAGAAAGAAAGGTGAAAGGATAGGATGGCACTAGCTCTATTAACAGGAGTCTATAGAAGAGAATATACAGGTAAGCCTCAACTTATGACCACAGTTGAGCCCCAAATTTATGTTGCTAAGTGAGATAGCTGTTAAGTTACTTTTGTCCCATTTTATGACCTCTCTTGCCACAGTTGTTAAGTAAAACACTACAGTAAAGTTAGTAACATAGCTGTTAAGTCAATCTATCTTCCCCATTGATTTTACTTGTCAGAAGGCCACAAAAGGTGATCACATGACCTCAGGACACTGCAACCATCATAAATATATGCCAGTTGCCAAGTGTGCGAACTTTGATCACATGATCATGTGGATGCTGCAGTGGTAGTAATTGTGAAAAACAGTCATAAGTCAATTTTTTCAGTGCTGCTGTAATTTCGAATGGTCACTAAACGAATGGTTGAGGATTACCTACAATAAGTCGAGGACTACCTATATGTAGCTCAGGGCTGAACTGCAGAATCTTTGTGATGTTATTTAGTTAGGTAATGAAACATCTGCAAGTAAACAACCAAACTCAAAGAGCAAAAAAGACTCCATAAAAATCTATGTAAAATAACTTTTCTGCTTTCAAAAAGGGAGATACTTGTAAGCCTCACAAGGGATGTTTTCCTCCTGGAACAAGTAGGTAGGATAAAGATCTAATTTTAACTCCCTGAAGGGGGAAGAGTTTTCTCAATGTTTAGATCAAGTTTGCTACCAAGTAGAGAAGTCAGATTGAGCCTCATTTCTTAGGCAGCATTTTAGTATCTTGCTCTTAAAATATTTTTATTAATTCATTTGGTCCTTTTATTCATATTATTTAGGTTTTACTTTTAATAGCTTACTATCTATACTTGTATCTGTGGTAAATGCTCCTGTTGATTCCTTAGAAATGTGTGAATCTTGAAAGCATTTTTACTATTCCCTCTAGATAACATGTATGCTTTCTTTTCTATGTCATGGCTCCCCAGGTTTCGTTCCTTTTATTCTTTTTATGAAGTCAGTGGTTTGATTTGATGATTAGTGACCATAATAAAAATTATGATTATTACCTTTAGTATCTTCCTCCAAAAGATTTAGCAAAGTGGTGTGAATGAGTTGGTTTATAAGCTTGCACAGTTATAAATTCAAATCCCTACCTATCAAATTTAATTCCACAGCAGAACTTTTGAATTTTCTTATGGTTTCTTTTTCGACTGCTGCCACTATAATTTTGCACTTCTATCTTTTATTCTCATGAATGACAGGATGGGCATACAAATCAGTGTGATAAATTGGAAGAGATGAGGATATAGAAGAGATTAGTACTTTGACAGTTCTCCTTGCCAGACCCATCAAAAAATTCATTTTGGGTAAATTGAAGATTTTTTTCCTCTTACAGTTTCCTTTGCCAATTAACTGTTGAACATTTTTCAGCTCTAAATAAGAGTTCAGGGTTTCAGCCTCAGGCTAGCTATACTGCTGGCTGAAAAGTTGGATGCAAACACAAGTTTTGAGGCCAATTAAGTTTTATTTCTTTGTTTTGGCGCAATATCTAGATGATTCTCAAAACTAATTCTCTAAAATTAAATAGGGATTAATGGAAAAGAATAAGGTACTATTGTACCTTTCTATAGTACAGTTCCATACTCAAGGAATAAGCTGAGACATTTTCTGTTAACAAATGTTTTTATATTTTATTGACATCCATTAATTTTGAATGGCTGAGCTAGGATGCTTCCAAAGGACATTTTGTTCCTGTTTTCAGGAATGTAGATAATTCTCGACTTACAATCACAATGAAGCCCAGAATTTTGGTCATTGTGTCTAAGTTGAGGCACCATGTGTTCTTACTCTATTTTACAGCTGTGTCTATAACAGTTGTAAAATGAGTCACCATGGTCATTAAACAAATCATGTGGTTGTTAAGTGAACATAGCCAATGGACATTTCATTGCAAATCACAGTCTCATGATGGGACCCTGGCGGTAAGCCAGTTGCCAAGCACCGAAAATGCAATCATATCTCTGTGGTGGGAAGTGCGGCAGTTATAACTTAAGAGCAGTTGTAACTGTCATAACTTCAAATGGTTGTTGGTTGGAAGTGGAGGACTACCTGTAGGAAAGTTTTATTTTTGTTTTATATTCCTTTCAGTATGTTTCTGTATTCTGCTA